GGTAGACCTACTGATTTTAAGTCTTAACTGTGTTTCATAGGGAATGACCCTGCTGATGATGGGCTCTGCAGATGCCCTGCCTGAGGAGCCGGTGGTTCGACCCATGTTTGTGGAGGATATGACTGAGGAGCAGCTCGCTTCAGCGGTTGGTACATTTGACAGAGACGGTTACAAAGAAATTTCTGTTTTCGATGATTTTCTTGATATTAGTAATGAATTTGCAAAAATATCCCAAATTTACATAAAGTCATCAAGCTGTTTTCCTCTCATAAGTTATGGCAGTATAGTTTGAAGTCGAAATGCACATTTGTAGTTCTGCAGAATAGGCATCTCAGGCTCCTTACAAAGGGATAGATTTTTAAAAATGCTTTTATAATTAGGGTTGCACAATAAGTCTTCAGATGTTTCAGTAATGATCTAATCATCTTTTACAACAAACAAATGAAAATATCGAAAATGGAATGTTTGGAGCTGATGGCGTTGCACAGAGAGGTAGTTTATAAGTAATTGGTAAACATCTAGGAAACAAAAAGTGATGAACTGATGTCACTCAGCTATTGAAGTAAAAAAAAAAAAAAAGAAATTTAGATCTGAATCTTCACAAACCAAAAATTTGATTAATGAATAAAATGGATTAATAGTCCAGCCCTGCTAGCAGCAGCCCTTGATCTGTGAAAACCACTGGTTAAGCATAAGATCGTTCAGTTCGGATCACCAGCCAACTTCCTTCTTTCTTTTAATGTTAAGCTGATTTTATTCTTAATACCTCTGGAAAGAACTTCTGCAACCGTTTGTATTGCTGTGTTCAGATGGAGCTTCCCTGCGGCCTGACAAACCTGGGTAACACCTGCTACATGAACGCCACTGTGCAGTGTCTACGCTCCGTGCCGGAGCTTAAAACGGCTCTCAGGAGGTAAGGAGGAAAGACATGGCATAAATGATAGTTCCAAAACTTCGGCATGCTGAATAATTTAGGTTGTTACTAGTTTTGGTGAAAAACTCCTGATATCCTGTTTCAGTGACCTTTTATGGTTCATAGGTATTCAGGCGCTCTGCGATCCTCAGGAGCAAATGCCCCGGCACAATACATCACTGCAGGTTTGTTGCTGTTTTATTTTCCATTATAATTTTTTTCAAATTTGTAAATGTTTGTAAAATTTGATTTCTCTTTTTGATCGCCAGCGCTGCGGGATTTATACGAGACTATGGACAAAACCTCCTCCAGCCTTCCTCCCATAATCCTGCTGCAGTTCCTCCACATGGCCTTTCCACAGTTTGCTGAGAAGGGAGACCAAGGACAGTATCTTCAGCAGGTCAGGAACCCCTGGATTCATCTCTGTTGCTTAGAGTTACAACAAACACAGCATTGCATCAATTTATTAATTTTCTTTCTGTTTCCCAGGATGCTAATGAGTGCTGGCTGCAGATGATGAGGGTACTTCAGCAGAAGTTGGAGCCACTTGAGCCAGAGACTCCCATGGAGGTAATCTCTATTTTACTTTGTGTTTTATGGACTCTATGCATGTTTAGTATCTAATGTTTTTTTTTTTCCATGTCTAGACTGAGTCAGCAGGTGGCGCTGTCTCTGCATCCTCAAAGAAGAACTTTATTGATCAGTATTTCGGTGTAGAATTTGAAACTTCGTATCCTTTCACCTTATCTGTGATAAATTCTGGTCTCCGGTTATGTTTTTCTATTTTTAGTTATTTTCTTTATTTAAATGCAACATAGCAATGATAAATATTCTGTAGTTTGACTTAACTCTTGAGTTCAGCATGAAATGCACAGAGTCTGAGGAAGAAGAGCCAATCAAGGGCAAAGAAAGTCAGCTCCAGCTCAGCTGCTTCATTAACCAGGAAGTTAAATACCTCGCTACAGGGCTGCGACTGGTAAGTACTGTTTAGGGTCGCCCATTATAGAGAGTCCAGCTGCCACCAATGGGGTTATTTCACTTCAGAATGCATTTCTGTAACTTAGCATCTCATTATAACGTGGTGAGCAGTTAGTCAGCCAGGTGATGTAGAGCTAATCCTGTTCTTTCCCCAGAGACTGCAAGAAGAAATCACAAAAATGTCTCCAACCTTGGATAGAAACGCTTTGTATATCAAATCTGTAAGTATAAATTGTTTCCTACTTATATATTTTTTCATTAAGTTATTGGACCAAAATGTGACGTTTTCCCACCTGCCTGCTTGATATTTATCTGTCCTTATCCTCCACCAGTCAAAAGTTAGCCGCCTCCCTGCCTACTTAACTGTCCAAATGGTCCGATTTTTCTACAAGGAGAAGGAGTCGGTCAATGCAAAAGTTCTAAAGGTTTTTCCCTATTATTATTATTATTCCTTCACAGCAGCTGTCATTCTAACCCCCTTGGTAGAACTAATCTTTTATTTTTTTTATCATGAATTGTGAAGGATGTTAAGTTCCCACTCATGTTGGACGTATACGAGTTGTGCACCCCGGAGCTCCAGGAAAAAATGTTGACGATTAGGTCAAAGTTTAAGGAGATGGAGGACAAGAAACTGGAGAAACAGCAGCAGAAGGTATGAAAAATGGTTTTGAATGTCTACAATTTGGATTTATTTAGCTGTATTAGTACTAATTTGTGTGTTTTTTTATTATTTTTTTTATTAGGTGTTGACAAAGCCAGATGCATCAAAGGAAGTAAAATATGAGCCGTTCTCTTTCCCAGATGGTATGTTGAGTTATTCTCCCCAGCATTCCATATTTATTTCTCTATGCATAAACATCCACTATAACTTTTTGATTTTTTTTGGATTTTTATTTTAAAATGAAGGTATAGGTATGAGAACTCAGCAGAATCTGTAATTACGATAAGAAAATTGAGTAGAAAACCTGAAAATATGAAGGATCTATTACACCACCAGGCTTAAGAAGATGATGCTCTTTTTTGTTAATAAGCACACTTTATAATAAATAAAAATCAGATAAATTTCATTTTAGGCAGTACCAAAGTCGATTTTGGTATCCAGATCAAGGCATGTAAGACAAGTGAAGTTTATAGAACATTTTAATGAAGTAAAGAGTAGAAAAGGTCAAATATAATGAGACAAACATAAATTTAAAAACATCCCACAGTCCTTATGACGACTAATGATGATGTGGCTGCAGTGAAAGCTGGGCTGACGTTTCACAGGAGAAAGTTCTAGAGGTTCATATCTGCATTCCAGAAGGGAGGCTGTTGTACTCATTAAGGAAAGCATTACTTCCTTCATCTGTAAGACGTTATTTACAAACATATAAAAAATCAAAAAGGTGATTAAGTTCATTAAGGTCTTTTGTAAACTAAGCTTTCAATCCATGTTTTTGCTCAGAATGGAAACTCATTTGATCTGAAATGATTAGAATTGATCTCCTCCCTGTAGACGTCGGTTCCAACAACAGCGGCTACTATGACCTGCAGGCTGTACTGACACACCAGGGTCGCTCCAGCTCATCGGGGCATTATGTTGGATGGGTCAAGAGGAAAGAAGGTAACCGCATGTGTTTGTGTAATCTGAATGCCACCAAAGCTCTAATAGTATTGACTTTATAATCTGTTTACAGAATAGATGCTGTAAACACAGATGCTCTTGGCACTCTGACTAAAATCTGCTAATTTCTCACCCAAACCATGAAGAACTAAATAACAGATACATTTTTACCCTACAGTGAACATACCATGTTTCTGGTTTTCCTGCAGAAAAAGGCACAAAAGCTGCACAAAGCTCCTACAGAGGACACAACTTTGATTCAGCCTGAGAGAAAACTGAAAATATTACAGCAGACTGTCATTGCTTTATCCTTGAAAGAGCTCATTTTATTTTTAAACATTCAGGATTAGAAGGTGCTGGCAGTCTATTTAAAATTGTATTGTTGATGTAAAACTCTACTGATGCTACCTAGCATAGCTTCATAGACCCAACATTCTAACCGCTAAGACAGGTAGACGCTTAACAAAGAATATTAATAGGAAATTATGTCTATAAACTCTCATCACATCTCAGCCTGCATCTGCGCCCACATTTCTTTAAGTTAGGGAATTAACCTAAGTTTTCTGAAACATGAATGCGCTATCTTAATATGGGGCACGCCGCCAGCACTGTCTCCAGAACTTCTAGTACATCACGCTAGGGATGCACGATATAATCGGCCCCCTATCGGTATTGGCCTTAAAACTGAATATAGGACATCGGCCACCCCACCGATATTTAACCCAATATTCGATCAGCTTCTGAGTTTCCAAAGTCTAAAAAATATATATATATATTACTTCTTCTTCCTCAAAAACTTCTTTTTTACAGACTTAAAAACTTCTAAAGACGAAGGAAAAAATATTGATACATTAAAATATCACAATATCTTCATATGCTGATATATTGCCATTTAAAAACACCATATCAATCTCTTTTACTAATGAAATATTGCTATATGTCATCGTTATGCTACGAAATCCCCCAAAAATTCACCAAATGTTGCCATATTTTTATATGTTGATATATTGACGCGGTATCGATCTATTTTACTAACAAAATCTCACAAGAATTTGCAAAATATCACAAGAGTTTGTAACAGAAAGATGAAATTTCACGAGATTTTGAAAGTAAAATAGATCGATACCGCGTTTTTAAAAATCAATTTGATATCAGCATATGAAAATATATTTGAGTATATTATTTTTCAAAGTGTCAGAAATGGATAACAAAACTGATAATTTCAATGACTACTTATTTTTGTCCAGCTTTAACATCGGCATCGATATCGGTTATCGGCTACATGAGTTTTAAAATATCGGATATCGGCCAAAATCCCAATATCGTGCATCCCTACATTACGCCAGCAGTCTCTACTGGCCAGCAGAAGAGACCTGTTTATAGAGAACCAGGGTTCATTCTTTCACCTAAAGTTCTCTTTCAACATCTGTTTGAGTTTCTCACTATGACATATTGTGACTACCGTGTTGCCAGATAAGCTTACTAAAGGATCTGAACGAAGAACTGTGTGGTAACGTCCAACCTATAGAACCTAGTGAAGGTATGTGGCATTGCCCAGCTAGAGTTATACAAATGTCCTTCAAAGGTTTGCCCTGTAACAGTGCCCAAGATGACAACATACCACAAGTGTGATGACCTTATTAGGGGTGAAAGGCCCCTTGTCTCATAGGCCATGGTAATGGCTCCTTCTATCTAAAGCCAGAGACATTGTTTAGTGAGGCGTTTTCTTTTATGTGGTGGAGGCCATGATACAAACAGCTGCTCACATTTCCGGAGAGTTTCTATGCTCATGCAGCTTGTTTTAGCTGCAGGACCTTTAGATGCACATCAACCACAGACTTTGTGTGTAAACCAGCCACTGCTGCCATTTTTAATTTATAAAAAAAAAAATCCTAAAGAATTATCGTATTTGTACCTGGTTAGTTTAGGATCATTTTGTAATTAATTCACGATGATTTGGATGAATAACTACTTGTGAGATCCTAAAGGATAAATATCGTGATCAGTTTGTAGTTTTTGAACCACCTACTGTAACGCCAAGACAAGCAAATTTATTTTTTTTTTTTTTCCTTCAACAGATGAGTGGGTGAAGTTCGATGACGACAAGGTGAGCGTGGTCTCACCAGAGGACATCCTGCGGCTGTCTGGAGGAGGCGACTGGCATATAGCTTATGTTCTACTGTACGGGCCGCGGCGGCTGGAAATACTTGAAGAGGAGCAGTAGCTGGAGGGAGATTTCTTACACAGCATCCATATTTACAGATTGCCATTTCCAAGCACTGTCTGCATAGATGTGCAATAAAACTGGTGTCTTTAAAGATTTTTTTTTTGTAACCAACACTTATGCTTGTAAAAGAAATTGTGTTAATGTTCAACCATAGTGTGCTTTGAATATGGAGATCTGATGAAAGGCAACTCTCTTGACTGGATCCTTTAGATTTTAAAGTCTGGCTCAACAGTTTCTTTAGAGGTTTTATACACATTGTATATTTTTAAAGCCTTTCAAAAGGTGATCACAAGAGCAAAAAATATTTCTCTTTAGCCATTTAACCACGTTTTCCATTAAAATCCCCTCCAAATTGTTGTCCTTGACATTCTGGATTGTGTTGGATTCATAACAGAACACTTGTTCACCTCTTGGGCCTTTGGGTTCAGTCTCAGGTCTTAAGTGCTTGGCACGCTTCATCTCCTGCGATTGTTCTCAAAATGTATTGACAGATGAGGCTCTGTCTGCCAAATATCCATTAATGCTGTTTTCAGGGAAGTGGTTTGGAACAGGTTGGCCTCATGGTGAACCGTGTGGAGGAGCTTAAGGATGCTTGGCTTTGAAACGCTGTTATTTGGAACGCTTACTTCAATGTATGTCAAATCCAAAACATCCACTCTCTGTAATAAGTTATTAATTGATTGCTGGTGAAAATAAACAGTTGAAACCAAAGAGTGATTTTATGTGACCTTGAGACAAACATTTTGAAAAAGAGTTTATTAAATTTCTACAGTGAAAAAAGTTTTGAAACTATAGCACATACGAAAAACAGAAGTTGCTCTGACGTAATGTTAGAGATTAAACATATTTTACGATTCACTGAGACTGTCTGCAATCTGGGAGAAACCTGAGGCATTAAGAGCCGTCACCAGGTTCTCCACTGTAGCCTGTTGTCCCTCTCTGTCCTGCCAGGCGACCAACAGCAGCTTGGCCTGCATCTCCACGTCTTCACTGTCCGTCTCGATTTCCCGCATCTCTGCTGCCTTCATATCCAAATGAGAAGCCAGCGTCTTCCACTTAGCTCCCAGTTTGACTGCAAGTTCGTCCATCTGCTGGCCTGTTACAGTCTTACTTTGGATGCTCGGACCTTTAAAAGAAAAAACCTGAAATTGTATCATGCTGAATAGGATATGTGAAATATAAATTAGATCATGTAAGTGTTTATTTCACTAACTTGTTGATTTTAAAACAGATTGGTTTCCCAGTTTAGACACATATATTGATGCTGAATTAACAGCTGTTACTGACATCCACCACATGGGAATTGTTGAAACTGCTTCAGCAAAGCACGTTAATGGAGAATTGGGATAAATAAAGCTTCATACATAATAGGATGACAAAGGTATTGAGAGAATTTATGAGGCAAAATTTATTCAAGACCTTTGGAGAAATTCAGATGGACTAGAAAGGTGGAGTCAGCAATTCAAACATATTCACACCAGTTCAGTTCCCAAAGGACATGGGGCTTTTACCTATTCTAAGTCATAATTCATCTTTTGCTATAAACCCTTGATTTTCTAATAAACTCAATTGGAGGTTTCAATAGGCTATAAGCTCAACATGTTGGCATTTTTTGTAGATATTTGTTCAGAAAAAGAAATCCCTCTTGGGTATTTTAAATTATTTTGAAGCGCCTGCAGAGAACACTTGACTTAAAGCAATCAATATTCTAGACACAAACCAAGCACTAAAGTTTAACATTAAACCAGGTAATGATTATAACCTTTATTCTTACAGTTGTGCTTGAAAGTTAACATACACTCCCATTGCAGAAAATGATTAATTCACACTAGTGATTAAAATAACGCAAAACTGAAAGGAATTAATAAAAATAAATGAGAATTTAATAAATAAAATATAGGTTTTGAGTTTCAGTTTAAAGAGATATTTCAAAATATAAAACTCTGAACATTTCCTAAAAATTATAGAAAACACCTGATTTCAGCGATTGACTCAAAGTGTTGCTCAATAAAATTGAGTTCAGGCTTGTTATTTTAATATATGTCCATATCTTGGTCTATATCCATCTTTTACATTTTTAAAATTATTCTATTTATTAATATTGTCAATTTGAGTTTATTTTACCGGCAACTGATTCTTTTGTCTTTAATGAAAAGCTATGTAAACTTCAAAGCACAACTGTATGTGTTAAAAAGCTCACAAATAAACAGCAGCCTCACTCCTAAAGCCAGCTGATCCAGCTTACACTGGAAGAATTTGTGCCCTTTTCGGGCCAATTCTCCAGTCGTGCAAGAATTTTTTCTATCGAGCCGGGTTACAGCCTTGTTGTGTATTGTGTTGCATACAGGGGGTAACGAGGGGCAACTAGGCTCTCACGACCAGGAATCATAAGGTAGGGAGAAAATCAAACATGTTTGAAATTCAGATAGCCGTCGTAAGATCGCAACAGTGTGTCGGGCCGCACAGTGCGAGAATATGCATGGTGAGCTGTGAACTTTTAAACCCTGCGGTTTCATCGTACAGTTTGAGCTGTAGCTGTGTGCAAGGATTGAAAATATCGCACAGTGTATGCCCGGCTTTAGTGTAAAAAAGAAAAAAAAATGGGCTGACTTGTCTTGGCCTACTTAAACAATGAAGCAAGAAATCGTCAAACTCACTATCATTGCTTTCTTTAAGAAGATTGTCTCCATTATCATCATCATCCTCTTCTCCGGTCTTGATTTCTTCTGAAGGGATATCCTTCTGCATGTTTGCAAAACATGGAAACAAAACAAACCAAAATACTAGTTTTTAACATTTGCCTCATTTTGTTTGACGTTTAAAACAGGATTCTAGCCTCACCGGCAGCTCTTTGGCCAGTTTGCTGACCATGCTGTCTAGGTAGTCTGCCAGGCTTTTAAACTTCTGGTTAGTTGGCTGAAAGAAGTGTGGACTCCTCCTGGACAGCAGCCTCAAAGCTCGCCAGCCGTAGTTTGGGTTACGCACAACCCTGGGAAAAATGAGCATTGTTAGAAAGGAAACGACCAAGGAACAGATCAGGTGGATTGGATTGGATAGATGGGCTTTCACATGTTGCTGTTAAAAGTATTAAAAGGTGTCAACTGACTTGTATTCTTCCTCTATCATGTTGACTGGATCAGCCTGCTCGATAGCTTCAGCAAAGAACTCGTCCAGTGATGGCATAAACTCTCTGGGAAAACAAACACCAAATATAATCATCACCTTGCAGAAGTATTTGTTTACGCAAAACTTTTTCAGGTCACGACTACAAACTTCAAAGTGTGTTCCTGGTGTTTTATGTGAATCTATGCTTGCTGTGCCCAAATAAGGCTGGGTGCAAACTGCACTCTTGGTTTCTTTAATGAATAGATTTCTTCTCACAACTGTTAGAAAACATTTGTGGTTTTTTTTTTTTACCAGTAAGTGACTTCTAAAGCCATTCACCAACACTGGGTTAGCGTAAGCGTTATCACAGCAGAAAAAGCCAATTACACTACATTGAAGATTGTGGTTGTAGGATATGAAGTCATAAAGTCCAGATTACCTGCTTTCAGATTTGCAGGCCTCCATGTTGTCGTGGTTCAGGTTCCACAGTCGAGTCAACTCATCGCTAAGAAAAAACCAAAGAGAAGGGGTTAAAATTTTAAAAAGTCGTCCTACATCCTGCAGTAGGTCTAATCTAAAATCATTTGGTAGCTTCCTGATAATTTAATGCTGAATCTGTCAGAAGATACATTTAAAATGTAACGGGGCTGGGGCTCTAATTTCCATTAATTAGTTATGAGAGCATTTAAAAAATCCTAACTGATTACTAATAACTAATCCAACACAATCCATAACTAATTAGAGTAGGGCTGAAACCATTAATCTGATTAATTATGATTAATCGATTATTGAAATAATTGTCAACTAATTTAGTAATCGACTAACAATTAACTGGAGTATAGAGACTCTGAAACGTGCCTTTAGCTGACAGACCAACCCACTTACAGCAGCAATTATACCAAAATTGTACAAAAAAAACCCAAAAAATATTTCGCAATTAAAATAAAATAACTTCTTCGTCTGTCAATATACTCTATACAGAACTCCTCGAGTAGAAACGTTCACCTGATTTAACTTCGAAAAAAAAAAATCTTCTTTAAGGAACTTTTGACTATCTGATTATTGATTAACTGAAAAAAAATTATCGACAGATTAATGGATTTGCAAAAATAGTCATCAGTTGCAGCCCAACATTACAGCATTTGAAGTTTGAATCCAAACCATTATAATAATGGAAAAAAGGAAATGGAAATATTAGATGTCTGATTAAAGTGAAGCTTTATGATCTGTGGGCTGCACAGGACTTAAAAATAAAGATAAGGTAGCAGCAGGTGCTGCATGTTTAAAATTTATTTTTTCCCCCTAAAGATTTTAAGGACCTATGAGAACCCTGTGAATGTTCATAAATCATTAAATGTGATGAGTCATCCTGAGCCCTTTTAGCTGATCAGTTATCTGACAGGTTACTAGCGACTCCATCAGTGACGCTAAATATGATTTCCTTTTCAGCCGCGCTCTCCCCTCCTGTTCAGGTGACGTACTTTCCCATGAAAATCTTGCGGTCTGGCCCTTTTCCAAGGAAATCCTCCGGCGCTTGTCTTTTCCTGGTGGGTCTTTTGGGTTTGTCATCAACTGATCTGTTCAAGAGATGAAAAAAAAAAAAACACATAACCACTTTTTATTTTGACCTCCTGTAAAAACAAATAGGCACAAAGGTATGTCATTTTAAATAGTTATCATCTACCACTGTAAGTTGGCGAAATTCCTCTCTTTACCTTTCTTTCACAAAACTCGGGCAGCCCTCATTCTTCCAGGCGTTCCAGTTTTCCTCAGTGTTCAGGATATGCTGCCAAAGATGACAGTTTAATAATGTGACAATACCTGAAGTACGGAAAAAACCCCTGAAAACTGAGGGGTCATTGAAATATTTCTGCAAGTGTGGCTCACCTCCACCATGGTGGCAAACTTATCTCCATCAGGAGGCGTTTCTCTCAGCAGCTAGAAGAGCAGAACAAACCTTATCCATCTAGGTACTAATAACATCTGATGAATGAAAATAGATCTATTTTACTAGATACTAAGGTCAAATATGCACTGTAACCTGACTCTTCAAGGCCACATTATTATTCAGACTTTATTAGATTGTTTTTTGTTTTTTTTGTACATCAGGCAAAGCAGAGAGAGAATACCTAATGGGTCACTTATTTTATAAACTGTTATCATCTTTGCAAACTGTTTCGATTCCTGTTAAAGTAAAAAAAAGCCATGGGTTCACACTTATTACATGAGTTTACTCAACAACTAGCATCAGGAGCAGGATCTCTGTGGACAGACCACATGTCAGGAGGGTTTAGTCAACGTGGGAGCAGAGTCGGCGGTCCATACCCTGTCAGAGGTTAGGAAGTAAAGGAAGGAGACTCCTCTTTTGACGTCCCTGGCAAATCATCAAAAGATCTAAAGCAAAAGAATAAAAAAAAAGAGCTGCTGCATGCAGCTGAACTATCTGCAGGACTCAACCTAGAGGAGGTACCCATGTTAACCGTTGCATGTCCAACACCTTATGGGTCCCCCTTTATTCATTAGTTCCTTCAATAAGAACTGTAACTCAGTCCAATTGCAGC